TTGTTTTTCATAACATTGTAATTTCAATAAGCTATATCTCATGTACAGCATAGGCATACTTACAATTGCACCCCCTGTCGGAGTACAATAGGTCAGTGGGGGAGATCACGGTACTAACATCACTTGTTATTACAGTGATCTGTCAGTTTTCTTCTTTTGTTCAGTTTGCTGAAGAGAGATGCTGGTTCTATGGTTTCTAGATTTTTCTCTATAATTTCATATGCGCGATTGCAGGCCTTATTGACTATAGGAATAGTGGTATTTAACCAATACCCATGCAAAATCAGGTGTGTGTGTATATACGTGTGTGTGTGTGTGCACACGTGTGTGTTTGCATTTTCCGGTAGGGGGGGTACTCCCTACCCGCGCCACCATTCGTGGCTTCGGCTGTCAATCACTGGGTCCCAGCCAGTGATTACTCGCTGTTGCCTGGTGATTGCCGAGCATCTCCGATGGGGGGAGGGAGAACTGTTGGTAAACAAAGCAGTTATCTCCCCTGTCAGCTCCTGCACACTGCTTTGCATGGCTGTGCATAGCACAGCCATGCAAAGCAGTGTGCATACAGTAAAACACAGCCCAGTATTTAAAACGGTGCACAGTGTGGTAATTACAGACCTATCCCACTCTTGAACACGGATTTAAAAATTTACTCCAAGATATTGACCTCTCGATTATCACTTTTATTACTTGCCATAATTCTTAACGACCAAGTCGGTTTTGTCCCTGGTCGCGAAGCAAGAGACAATACGACTAAGACCCTAAATTTAATTTCCTACATTCAGAAACATAATCTTCAATCCTGCATTCTGTCCTTTGACGCTGAGAAGGCCTTTGACAGGGTCAGCTGGTATTTTTTTACGTCTTTCCCTCCAACAAATTGGCTTAGGTCCCAACTTTATTACTAAAGTTATGGCACTCTACTCTGTTTTGGTAAATGGTACCCGCTCTGCACCTTTTAAGATTTCAAACGGAACTAGACAGGGCTGCCCCTATCTCCCCTTCTTTTTGTGCTAGTCATTTAACACTTGGCACAGGCCATCAGACAAAATGACACTATATTGGGTATTCCTATTTTGTCTGCTCACTATATACTTTCTTTATACGCTGAAAATTTGCTCTTATATAGTCAGTCAGCAACCACACACCAGTCGACCGTCTCTATTCCACGAATGTAAAAGATTTGGTGATCTTTCTAACTTTAAACTTTATATGTCCAAAATTGGGTCGCTCCCACCTGCCACCCTCTGTCTTCTATGCTCTAATTTTTCCTTTCATTGGTCAGACCACTCTCTTCAGTATTTAGGCACGGTCATTCCCACTAGTATTTCAGATGTTTATTCTCTCTTCTATGGCCCTCTTCTATCTTCAATATGTAGAGACTTGGATGCTTGGGATTCCAAACCTATTCCCTGGTTCGGAAGAACTTTGTTCGCTTTCCTCTCAATTTATTTGGCGTAAACAAGTATCTCGACTTAAACTCTGCACTTTATATTTACCTAAACATCATGGTGGAGGTGGACTTCCAGACTTTGAATGTTACTACATAGCCACGATCCTAGCACGCTTTCCTGACTGGTTTGTGTTCCCTTATTCCAAGGCCTCTCCTATGATCGAGAACAAAATGTCCCCATACGATCTCCGAGCTCTATTATGGGGCTATGAACACTCCTAGACCTTTCCTGGTCTCTCCCCACTCACCTCAGCAACTCTATGCCTTTGGTACAAGCATAGGATATTACATGCCCTTTCCACTGATCTTGGTCCCCTCTCTCCTATTTTTGACAACTCAGCCTTTCTAGGGGCAATGGTGTACAATCTATAGGATGCCTCCACCGTACCATGTGACCCCAAGCAAGACATCTCATTTCTCCCATGTCAGGCCTTGACTGGCTGACTGCACATCAGTTTTCAGTTTTTCCTAACTCCCTTAGGTCTTCGCACTTCACCAGACGACCCCTAACAGACTTTGAATGACTGTGCTCTCTCTCGTAATCACCCAGACACATGCTGTCCACGATTTATAAAGTTCTTCAATCACCAACTAACACAATTTAAGTTGCATGGAAGACCGATTTGGGTTGTGAAATTGAGTCGGCTGAGTGGGAAAAGGCCTTTCATTTTACCCATAAATCCAGCATTTTCTGTTATATTTAGGAAAAGAGCTACAAGCTCCTCACCAGATGGTACAGGGATCCGGTCTCTCCATAAAATTTTTCCACAGGTCTTGGAGACGTGCTGGAGATGTAGTCAAGCTAAAGGCACTTATTTACACATATTGTGGGACTGTTGCAAGATTCAGCCTTTTTGACAGGCGATTTTTGACATCTACAACAACATCTATGGTTAGTCATTTTCTCTTTCCCCTGAAATAGCTCTCCTATCCATCCTACCAGGTTCTCTACAGAGCCAAAAGTTTTGTCTCCTTTTTTTTTTTTTTTTTTTTTTTTTTTTTTTAATCGGCAGGCAGTTAATACCTGCTTTATGGAAGACTTCTCGTACACCTTCTCTCCTCAATTGGGTACACATAATGAGTGATATGGGAGTGAAGGAACTCCTCGCCCAAGAGCGGGAGACCTCAGAAAAGTTTCTTGCTCTATGGCGGGCTTGGATCATTTATTCCTCCTCTGAATCCCTAAAACAAAACTACAGAAAGCACAGAATTAAGGAGTACAATTCGTGTGTGATTCCTCTGGGCTGCCCGATTCCCCCACACAAATCTTTCCTTTCTTTTTTACGTTTATATTACTCTGCAAAACACAGTTTGTACTGTAAATGTACTTTGTTTGGACCACATTTATTACGCATGACCCCAATTGGGTTGGGCCTATCTGTTTCCGCAAGGTTTCAGTCTAAGTTGTAGTATTCTGTGCATATGTAGTATATCAAAACCTTGTAACTGCATTTTCAGACAGGCGCTGCCCATAGATGTAATTCATTGTTTCGTTGACATTCTTTTTCATGGTCTGTACATGCTGTGAATGTTCTATTTGTACACTTTCCAATAAAAATATATTCAACCATAAAATGGCACACCGTTAACCCTTTGATCGCCCCACATGTTAACGCCATCTTGCCCATTGTCATTAGTACAGTTTCAGTGCTTTTTCTTAGCACTGATCACTGTATTGGTGTCACTGGTGATGTCGGTGACACCAAGTCAGTTCCCCCCAGTGTCAGAATGTCCGTTGCAGTCCCCCTGTAAGCCGCTGATTGCCGCCATTACTAATAAAAATTAAAAATCCCTATATATATATATAATCGCCAGTTGTGAACACTAACTTTTACGTAAACCAATTAACTTACACGTATTGGGATTTTTTTTTTTTTTAGCAAAGACATGTAGCAGAATATATTTTAGCCTAAATGTATGATGAAATTTTATTTTATTTTTTTTAATTTTTACTGGACATGTTTAATAGCAAAAAGTCAAAAATACTGTTTTTTTTTTCCTCACAATTGTCGGTCTTCCTTTTTTTTTTTTTTTTTTTTTTTTTTTTTATAGCACATAAAAAAACTGCACAGGCGATCAAATACCACCAAAAGAAAGCTCTATTCGTGGGAAAAAAAGGAAGTAAATTTAATTTGGGTGCAGCGTTGCGTGACTGTGCAATTGTCAGTTAAAGTAACGCAGTGCCATAACGCAAAAAATGCCCTGGTCAGGAAGGAGGGCAAGAGGTTAATTGGAACTAGGGTTGAGAACCTGTTTTATCTTGTACTTAGAATTTCACTCAAACAGATTTTGCTACTTCTCCCGATTTATGGCGATACCACATGTGAGACTTTTTCAATGTTTGGACTGGTTATGGTAACAGACTTTGTATCGTGTGCATCGCATAAATCAAACGCTTGCGTTAAAAACCGTGAACCGTAAAGATTGCCTCTGTACGAGCGGTCAGGGAATATAGCTTCATGTAGTGTCGCCTATAGCAGTCCCAGTTTCTGCAAGCTTAGCCTAGCAGTATGTGGCTGTGCACAGGAATGCTTTGTTCACATGCCTGGAAATCCAGAATGATAGAGAGGACGAGTAAGCGTTCTGTGGTTCCAGGAGTGCAGATGTCAGCTGGGAATGTCTGATTGGTGTCTCATAGAAACATAGTCAATGGAACATGCAGATAGTTCCATACAGGTGGCAAGCAGAAACTTGGTCAGCAAATGGGCAAGGGATTGCTCCAGGCAGCAGGCAGAAAGGTGGTCAGTAACCAGGTCTGGGCTAGTACAGGTGGCAGACAGAGGCAACACTGCACTAGTGTGGTGGTGATCAGGAACACGGTTTGTTGCACTGGCCTGATAACACTGGGACTAGTGTGGCAGTGCTCAGGCAACTATTGTTGGCTGTGCTGGTCTGGCGTTGCAGCAATCAGGATTTTTCTAGCTACACTGGTTTGGTGATGCTGTGACTGATGTGATGGTGAATGGCGACGCACTGACTGGCTGCACTACTAGGGCTCATTCACATGTAAGGTTTGAGGAAGGTGTGGATGTAGTTGTGCCACGGTCTTACCAACCCTCAACTGCTGTGACGGTGATCAGAAACAATGGTTGACCACACTGACATACAGTGATATCAATGCAGCCAGTCATTGTACACGATCAACACCACAGCAGTACAATGTCACCAGAAATGTTTGTTTTCAACTGTCAGCAGAACAATTCAGTGTCACAATGGTAACACTGCTGTGGCTATTGGTCAGACACTGGTTGCTCCATTGGCATACAGTGTAATTAATGCAGCAGTTGGTGTCTGTGAAAAACATTTTTAATTGGCCATGTACCCCGCTGTATGATCCCTTGTGTCCAAGGACCACAGCAATCTGATCATGTTGCTGTGTGCTCTAGGAGTGAAGCGCCAGTGATCTACCAATAGTGAATGCCTAATGGCCCGATGAATGGATGATTGCCAGATTATTGCAAAGTATACTAACATACTCTTCTACTGTGTTAGGGCCAAAATATGGGTGCCTTGATAAGAGAAAACTAACTTTCTCAAACTGTTCTTACAGACTTTCCAGAGTGGTGGAAGACGCAATAAAGGATTATTTTGAGACACGCCTTGCTTTGCTTGAACCCATCTTCCCCACCGCGTGCCACAGGCTCTGCGAGGGACCAGACTTTTCTCTGGACTTCAGCTACAAACCTCCATATAATATTCCTGAAGGTACACTATTAAGTTAATTTATCAAACCTCTGTACTGTTCCAGATTTCATGGAGCTTGTGACAGTATCGTATAAATTTAGCCCAGAGCCACCAATCTGATTCACACCTGTACTAGAAAATGACAAGAAAAATTTTTATTTGGTTACTGGGAGAACTGTTGAGCATTATACTGTATCCCAACACTTTTATGTACCAATATACTGTACACTGCATGGATTATGGCATTGGGTATCTATGTGGCAAATGAGGTATGATGTTGATAAATGTAAGGTTATGCACTTGGGGGGCTAAGAATATGCATGCATCATACATAATAGGGGGAGTACAACTGGGGGAATCAATGGTGGAGAAGGATCTGGGAGCTCTGGTAGATCACAAGCTTAATAATGGCATGCAATGCCAAGCTGCAGTTTCTAAAGCGAGCAAAATCCTCTCTTGTATTAAAAGAGGTATAGACTCCAGAGAGATATTTTACCCCTCTACATATCATCAGTAACACCTCATCTGGAATATGCAGTTCAATTTTGGGCACCAATTCACAAATAGAACATTGGGGAACTGGAGAAAGTACAGAGAAGGGCAACCAAACTGATACGAGGCATGGAAGAGCTCAGCTATGAGGAAAGATTAGAGGAACTGAATTTATTCTCTCTTGAGAAGAGGAGATTAAGGGGGATTGATCAACATGTATAAATACATCAGTGGTTCATATAGTGAACTTGGTATAGAGTTATTCATCTTGAGGTCATCACAGAGGACAAGGGGCCACTCTTTACATCTGGATGAAAAGAAATTAAATTTCCAAATACTGAAAGGATTTTTTCACAGTAAGAGCTGTGAAAATGTGGGATAGACTCCCTCAAGAGTTGGTTCTGGCCAGCTCAGTGGATTGTTTTAAAAAAGGCCTAGATTCTTTCTTGGATACACAGAATATAACTGGTTATTAATATTTATAGGTTAATCCAGGGAATATCCGATTGCCTCTCATGGGGATCAGGAAGGAATGTTTTTTTTTCCCATGCAGGAGCAAATTAGATCATGCTTTGCTGTGTTTTTTTGCCTTCCTTCGGATTATCTGTGGGTGTAGGATCATAACTTCTTTTTTTTTTTTTTCTTCACATAACCAGTCCTAAACCAAGTGAATGCAGGTCCATAGACGTAGTGTTACCTTGCACCACTGAAATCATGTCTTTCTGACCAGATCTCTATCTGCTTGGAGTTTGTGGCTTTTTTTAAATTTTTTTTTATTGTCCTTCGAGTGACACAGGAATTCTGAAACAGTCAAGTTATGAAGTCCTGAAGCCACCTTCAGGAGTTTAGGACACTGGCAAACATAAGTTGCAAGCTACCCCTATACAACCCCTCCTCTACTCCAAGCCCCAATCTGGCTCCACAGGATCTTTTGGCCACGTGACTGGAAGTGGGCGGAGCTAGGAATATGGTGAGGGCTGAAAGACGTTTGGTAGTGAGGACAGCAGGGTGGCTGAGAGCAGTCAGCTGACATTCTTGGATGGCACACCTGGCTTTTGCAGCAGAGACTGGGCCAAACCTCCTCATGCAGAAGGAGGAAGGGATGGCAGCACCAGTGACTGCGGGCAAGTCCAGGTTTGGGCTCGGAGAGTGCCTTTCTTGAGGGGGAGTGCTAGGAGAGAAGGGGCCCAGATGGGCTTCCTCTAGGAAATGTGGTTATTGTAGGTAGAAGCTAGCTAGTTCCCATCCTAAACCATTTTGCTAAAGATGCATTAACAAGCTGGCAGGGAGAGAGGCTTCAGGCTTGATGAAAGATTTCCTAGCATCTATGCAAGCAGAGATGGTAGCCACAATCCAGTCTTTTTGAACCTTGGCAATGGCCCAGAGGAGCTATCCCTTAAGGAAAGCCCCACTTTATTCCTCCCATCTTCCCAGATGCTTCCTCCAGCCCAACCCAGGGATGAGGAGGAGAGTAAGGGAGAGCTGGATAGTTGGCCTAAATCGGACTATAGCTCAGGGTGGACCTAGGTCTGGATAGTGAGGCAGGTGAGGAGGTTAAGCCTGGCAGGCAACTCTTTCTGCTGGAAGACCCGGACGGGCTCCTTCAGGCGGTTTACTTCACCAAAGAAATCCCAGGAACCCCCAGAGAGACCTCACTGCAGGACAAAATGTATAGGGGCCTAGTGAGGGCCCATGCTGGGGTGTTCCCCTTCTACTACTCCTTATAGGATTTAATCCTACAGGACTAGAAGGATCCTGAAATGAGTGGTCAGACCTAAGACTTGAAAAGGTTACCCTTTAAAGAGGAGAAGGAAGATTAGATTCTTTTAAGCTTCCCAGGTTGGATGCTGTGATATCGCAAGTTACCAAGAGGTCTGGTCTCTCTTCGAGGATTCAGGGAGCATTAAGGATTTGATGGATGGAGGGTCTAAATCTGTCCTAAGGAAGGCATGGGATGCTAACTCATCTGCCATGGCCCCAGCTCTGGCAGCAACCTGCATTGCCAGAAATATAGACTTTTGGATGGAAAGACTGACCAAACACTTGTGGTAGGGGGCCAAGTCAGATGAAGTGCTAGATTCTCTCTGTGTTAGTGAAGGCAGTAGCCTACCTAGCGGATGCTGCGGTCAAATCCATTTAAAGCCTCAACCAAAACAGCTGCACTCCATTAATTCAGCCAGAAGGGCTATCTGGGTTAAAGCATGGGAAGGCGAGTTAACTTTGAAAAGTAAACTATGTGGTCTCCCCTTTGAAGGCTTCCTGCTGTTCGGCCCAGGGTTTGGACAATGTGTAGTCCAGGTCCTCTGAGAAGCTGATGAAATTCCCAGTTAAACCCAAGAACCAGCAGAGGGCCGAAAATATGAATAAGCAATGGGAGTTGAGGCAAAGGGACATTTTGCGGTTTTCCTCCCCAGGTGCCAGCACTAAAGAAAGCAAGCAACGCCAGGATCAGGGTAGGGGGCCGTCTGTCACACTTTGCCTCCCAGTGGGAGAAAATCTCAGAGAGTGCCTATATCTGCCAACTAGTACAAGAGGGCTATCGCCTAGAGTTCTCGTCAAGGCCCCCACAAATGATTACCCTAAGTGGTTGTACCTGTACCCAAAAGCCAACAATACCAGGTATTTTACTCCCACGTATTTGCAAACCTTCAGGAAAATACCGCCTAATTATAAACCTCAGAAACCTGAACAAATTCTTGGAATACAAAAATCTCCAAAAAAAAAAAAAGGCCTTTATGGCAATGCTGGACCTCAAGGATGCCTATTTACATGACCCAATTCATCCTACTTAAGGTTTGCGATGGTAAGAAACCATCCATTGGGGGAGAAACAGCCCACTGGCAGTTCAGGGCTCTTCCTTTTGGACTAGCGGCCTGTCCAAAGCTTTTTACAAACATCCTAGCCGAAGCAGTGGCACTCCACCTTCAGGGGATATCCCTGATCCCCTATTTAGACTATCTTCTTCTAATTTTTGGTCTCTCTATTCAGGTGAAGGCAGACAGTTAGAGGTGATCACCACCCTGTTGTCTCTGGGCTGGATAGTAAGCAGAGAGAAATCATGTTGAGCCGGAGCAGGTCAAATACTTTATCGGTTACGTGGTGGACATAAGAGCTCAAAAACTTTCTACTGAGGGACAAGGTGCAGAAGATAGTCCTGTCAGTGAGGGGTCTGATAGAGGCGCCTTCAAGCTCCCTGAGGGAAGTATTGAGGGCACTGGGACTGCTGTCTTCAGCCATCCTGGCCATAGTGTGAGCACAATTTCACTCAAGAGACCTGCAATTCTTCCTTCTGTCGTGTTGGGACCTGAAAGAATCCATGGACAAAAAGCTGGGCCTCACTCCACAGGTAAAATCCTCACTAGAATGGTGGGTAACCCCCAGCAATCTGCAGGGAGGCAGGCCCTGGGCCCAGTTGGGCCACCTCGTTAATCCTGCGAGTTCTCCAGAAGCTCAGCCAGTCTTTGGGCAACCTCCCTCTGATTGCACCATGGTGGCCAAGGAGGGTTTGGTTCACAACCTAAAACCTCTGTGGCAGTGCCTGGGAGGCTTCCGAATCCTGCCAGATCATCTTCTTCAGGGTCTGGTGCTTCACCCTAAGTCTGGATTCTTTCAGTTGCCAGCCTGGCCAGTGAGCACCAGATCCTAAAGAGTAAGGGTTGTTCAGACAGAGGTAGATGCCCTCCTCTTAACCAGAAAGCCTGTAACTAAGAAAATGTACTCGAGTGTATGGAAAATCTTTTGTTCTTGGTGCAAACGAAAACCGGTATCCTCTACCTCTATTCCAATGATCCTGGAGTTTCTCCAGGATGGTGTTGAATGAGGGGTGGCAGTTGGCACCCTTCGAGTACAAATTGCTGCACTTTCAATTTTTCTTGACTCTAGATTAGCTAGAGAACCTTTTAGTTCAGTGTTTTTTTTTTGTGGCCAGGGAAATAATTACCCCAGCTACAAAAGAGATTTCTTCCATGGGATCTGACCAGAGTGCTAGAAGCCTTATTAAAGCACCCTTTTGAACCAATAGAGGAGATTCCCTTTAAGTTGTTTATGTTAAAATGATCTTTTTGGTTGGCTATCACCACGACTAGAAGTGATGGAGACCTACAAAATTTGTCGGCAAAGAACTCTTTTTGCTGATCCCGCCAGATAGGGTCACCCTTGGGGCAGACCCAATGTACCTGCCCAAGGTAGCTTGATTATCTAATAGAACACAGGAAATAACTTTTCCTTCCTTCTCTGACAATCCCAGGAACACAAAAGAAGAAAAATTCCACTCTTGATGAAGTCTCCTCACTTATTTGCATAGGGACAAAGATTTTAGGAGGTCCAACCATCTGTTAATTTCTTATGTCGGACCAAGGAAGGGACTCAAAACCTCTAAAGATTTGGTCTCCAGGTGGATCAGACAAGCTATTGCCTTAGCTTATGAGAGTTCAGGGATCCCTGCACCAACAAAGGTTAAAGCTCACTCAACCCGGGCTAAGGCCACAACCTGGGCAGAAAAAGCAGGGGCCTCCTGGGAACAGATTAAC